GATTGGTAGTCCAGGCTGGTCTCGAATTTACAGAGATCAGCCTGCCTCTACCTCCTGAGTGCTGGGATTAAAGGCGTGCGCCGCCAACGCCCTGCTGGTACACTCCTTTAATTCCAGCACTCAGGAGGCAGAGGCAAGTGGATCTCTGTGAGTTGGAAGCCAGTCTGGTCTACAGAGGACAGCCAGGCTACACAGAGAAACCTGTCTTGAAAAAATTGTTTTTTCTTTTGTGGGGCCTGGAAAGTTAAAAGCACGGCTTCTCTTGCAGAAGGTTTAAATTCCATTCCCAGCACCCATGTGGCAGTTCACAATTGTCTGTAACTCCAGTCCCAGGGATCCAGTGACCTTTCAGGCACAAGGCATATATATGTATGGTATACTGACATACATGCAGTCAAGATACCCGTACACATTAAATAAATAAATGTATTTACTTTTTAAAGAGTTTTATTTCTAATTGTGTGTGTGTGTGTGTGTGTGTGTGTGTGCAGGGAGGGCTATGTGCACCTGAGTGCAGGTGTCTGTGGGGACCAGAGGGTTTGGATACCCCTGAAGCTGGAGTCACAGGCAATTATGAGCTGTCTGACATAAGTTCTGGGAATCAAACTCAGCTCCTCCATAGGAACTCATGACTACTGTGCCATCACTCCAGCACCCAATTTTTCATATTTTGCTTGGCACATAATCACTGCACATTTGTTGGGTTTAGTGTGCTATTTTTGTTTGTTTTGTTTTGAGGCAGGGTCTCACTGTGTAGCCCTGGTTGGCCTGGAGCTTACTCCGTAGACCAGGCTGGCCTTGAACTCATAGAGATCCACCAGCCTCTGCCTCTCAAGTGCTGGGATTAAAGGCGTGCGCCACTTGTGTTTTTGAGACAGGGTTTCACTGTGTAGCCCTGGCTGTCCTGGAACTCACTCTGGAGACCAGGCTGGCCTCAGACTCACAGGGATCCACCTGCCTCTCCCGCCTGAGTGCTGTTTTTTCTCAATACCTGTAGCAATGTCCTAACAGTATGCAGGTGCCTGGTGACTCAACATGATGGCTTAGACCTTGGCATTAGATTAGAGTCTACTGCCTTCATGTTCCTGCTCTGTGGCCATGTTTGCATGCCATTCTTTATCAAAAGGACCATAAAGCTGGTCTCAGGAAGAGGTGATATCGTGGGAAGGAATGGGGGTTGCTTCCAGGATCAGACTGAAGGACCTGTGGTTGGTAGTTTGTAAGGCACCCAACAGGTGTCTGTGTTACCTTCTAGATCTCTCTAAGATCATTCTGTTGTGTCCCGGGGTATACGGTTTGGGGACTTCAGACCTTAAGGGCCTCCGAGGACATAGTAAGTGTTCAAAAAACATCTGTGAATACTCGAGGTTCAAACACCAAGAAACCTTCCCTTTGACCCAGCAAAGGGGGATCAGGTCAGCCGATCTCGGAGTTGCCTGGATTTTAACTCACCTTCCTATGGATCTGCACCTGCCTGTGAGAGCAGATGACAAGAACGAAGTTCCGCTTGTCCCCTGCCACCCATGGATGCTGACGCGCAGCTAAAGTGTTTCCTGAGTGGAGTCCAGTCCCTGCGTTCTGAGCGCTTCTGCAGTGTCTCACAACGGTTGCAGACCCAGGGACCTCCAACAGGAAAGAGAACTGCGGTGTGGCCTGGCTCTTGAAAAACGTTTATTATTGTTGTTGTTGTTTTTCGAGACAGGGTTTCTCTGTGAAGACCTAGTTGCACTGGAACTCACTCTGTAGACCAGGCTGGCCTTGAACTCACAGAGACCCACCTGCCTCTGCCTCCGGAGTGCTGAGATGAAAAACGTTTTTTATTGAGATGAAAAACGTTTTTTTTTATTACTGTGCGTTATGGGGTGAGCATGTAGAGGCCAAAGGACAACTTGTGAGTGTTAGCTCTCTCCTTCCATCATGTTTTTCCCGGGTTTCCTGAAGGTGTGTTTTCAATCTAATCAGACATAAACTCTGGGAGAACCGTACCAACCGGCTTTCCTTCACTCCCCATACCCAGCTCTGGCCTGGACACAGACAAACTTAGACCAGGAAAAGCAGAAGGTGGCGAGCAGGGCCTGTGTCCTTCCGCGCTGGTGCAATACCCTTCTTCAGCAGCAGAGGGGGGCTCGACTTCCACGCTCCAACGCTTCCGGCCATTCGTTAGCCTAAGAATTC